GAGGGGGGAAGAGAAAGGTTTTTTTATGTGTTAATGTTTGTGTATTTCATTTATTTGCTTAGGTATGTTGGTCTATATTGTTTTTTCTGTTATTATTTCAATAATAAAAATTAAATAGTTCTACGTTTTTTTTTTTTTTTTTTGTAATAATTTTGTTTTATTTATTTTCCGGCTTTTTTTTTATAATATATTTAATATACGTTAAATTATTATATTGTTGTTGTTGTTATTTGTTTTTTTTTTTGTTTGTTATTTTATTTTAATTTAATTTAATTAACTACATTTATAAATCATTATACATATTAATGTCCGTCTGTCTGTCGTATGGTCCGTATATCTGTCTGTTTATTTATCTGTATCTATGTGTAGCTACATGTATGTATGCTTTCCTAACCGACATATACATTGACATTATATGCATTTTTCTTCTTTTCATGAAAAAAAGTTAATTTAACTTAAACGCATACATACATATATTGGTATTTGGGAGTCACTTTATACTGCTTTCATATATGTATTTATTGGCAAAATTGTTTGTTTTTTTGTTTTCTCTTTTGTTTTTTTTTTTTTTTTTTTTAGACTGATCGCCGTATGCATGTATTCATTTATATCTGATACGCAATGTGTTTGTTTAAAAACAAACACAATAAAAAGAACAAATAAAAAAGAAATTATTAAGAACAAATTTGTATATACTGCCATGCATTTACATTATGTACACCAATACACCAACAATTAAACCTTATTTGTTTTTTCATTTCTCTCTTTTTTGTTCCTTTTTTTTTTCGTGTGTATTTGTTGACTTAAATTTATGAAAAATAAGTAAAAAATAAACAAACTTACATTTAAAGTTTTTATAGCCTTAAATCTAACTTATGAGCAAGAGACGTTTTTTCATTTTCGCATATTTTCTGAATTCTACGTATTTTAAATTTTGTTGTTGTTTTTTACTATTTATTTTATAAATACACATAAATTTAGGTATTGCATGTACACATACACACACGCACGCGCGCATACGACGTGCTGTCGTCGGCATACCAATGTATATATAAATGTCTGTATATGTATGCGCATGTGTGTGCAGCAACCTTACACAATTCGTTATAATTTTTTTCATATCCATCACGCAAGGGTAGAAATATTGCAGCTCGGGAAATCGTAATATAAGTATATGTTTGCCGGCCCGTCCATCCATCTATTGATTGCTTTCTGCAGCTACGATCTTACATTTTTCGTTTTGATAAACAAAGCTTGTCTGACACGCCCACTAACAAATCTTAAACAGCAAAACCAATAATATTCGAAAAGCAGAAAAAATTTTAAATATGGTTTGGTCCGTTGAACAGATTACTTCGATGATACAAGTGATAGCTCTATTCCCGTGCCACTATTTCATAATTGCCTCCTATAATCCGAATAGCATTAGGAATTGTGGTTCACGCAGCGTACACAGAAAAGCGAAGAGTTCGTAGTCATAGCAGCAATTGAATAAGTGATGGGTATCTAAGATTCGCTTCAAGGCGAATATAATTTTCTTATTTTAATTAATTTTCTCAGTGTTTGAACAGTTGTGGGAGTTTTTTTCAAAAATTTCTCGTGGTTTGTGGCTTTTGTTTTCTTTTTTTGTGTGTAATTTCTTTTTATACGTACATACATACAAAGGTAGTCACATGAGTAGATAGAATACAAACTTTAATTCGTTGAATAAATTATTAGATAAAAAAAAATTTTTTTTTCTTTACTGCACACTGAAATCACATAAATTTCTGGCATTTAAATAATAAAAAAAAAGAAAAAATTACATGATAATAAAATGCGAACAAAAATTTTTTTGTTTTAATTAAATTAATTTCAATTATGTGAACCTTTTAATAATTTATGAAAATATATTTTACTAAAAAAAAAAAGGTGACCAAAAGCACGCGTTAATTAAACAGAGTTAATTAAAGAAATTTTTATTATAAAGCTCTTTTCCTTTTTTTTTTTTTTAAATTTTAGAGAACACAAAATTTTAACAAATACACTGCCAAAAAAGGATTGAATTTTGCTTCAAATTTTTCATATCAAGTTTGCTTAGGCATTTATGAATTTATCGAAATATTTTACAAAGAAATCCTCAGAAAAAGGAAAAAAAACTTTTAACATCGAACTCGACTTGTGAGAAAGTTTAAGAACCCCCTTAAAATTAGCAGGTAAATGTGAGTAGAGCTCTAAATTTAGTGAAGATATTCATACAGATATTCTAAAATGAAGTTGAAGGAATAACACATAGGCAATTGACAGTGAAGCCTCGCTCATTCATTTGATATGAGCGATCACGCAGCGGATGTCGTCCATTCGTGTAACACGGTGACGATCAGAAAACAGCAAGGAAAGAGAAAGGGATAGAATAGTGGTGGTGAAAACTTACTGATTGTGTGGCCAACCGGTAGATGCTATGCCTTTACCGCGTGAGTATTCAAAGTATATTCTGCAGGATGACTTGAGATTTGAACCGGCGAACACTAACTTGGTACATCTCCCACCGGCCAACAACATGTTAAAACTATAGCAGGTCGGAGAAGTCCGGCCGCCCATCTTATGTACCCTCTCTGCCATTTATTTTTTATTTAATACACGTTCGTTCGTGTTGCTCTTCTTCATGGCAATTCTTGCAGTCCTCCACAATTTTCCCACACCTAACTTCAAGCAAATCAAAGCAAATCCGACAAATCTTTTCCAATACGTAATGCATTCGTTCCTCGTAGAACACTGAGTATTTGTATTCTAAGCGATACTCCTGATAATGCTTCGAGTTGATGGAAGGCGCACTAAAAATTGGTGCTGTTAGCAACGATTTGGCAACAATAAGCAAAGATGCTTTAATTAATAAATTAACAAAGTGAATGACTTTGAATTTCCGTCAGTTAGATAGTACTCACAGTCTGTCTGCCAGATAATAATTATAGTTTCATTAGTAGACAATGAAAGCTCATCTAGTTTTAAAATGAAAATTATCTTTAATTTTTGAACATAATAACTGGAACACTTTAACTCACTAGGCTGGAGAGTTTATATACTAATACAGTGTTATTCGCAGTTCTCTCATCGGACAATAAAGCTCATCTAGTTTTAAAATAAAAATTCCCTTTAACTATTGAACACAATACCAGATGCATTGAACTCACTGACTCGATAGTTTTCCTGCTAAATGAAAATGTTAATTTGAAGGTACACCTTATTCCAACTATAAATTTAGGCAAATAGAAGCGATTAAAAATAAGAGAAATCATTTAATAGCAAATGCTTATGTGCCCATGGAAATTTATTTCACTTCGTTCGCAAAATTTTGCAATCATTTTTGCATTTCTGCGTTATTGCGTTGTGAACAGGTACCTATGTGGATATTCTGTGCCTTTCGCTCGTCTTCCTCTCTCTGCCACTATATTACCTATAATGCTTGCACAAAGAGTTGTACTAAGTAAAATGAAGAAGAGCAGATGACAACCATTGAAAGGATGATGAAAATTTAGTAAGTAAGACTATTGGTCAACTTAATAATAAAGCTTAGTGATATTACTTGGAAAAACTTCTAAATTGAATTAACTTGAGAGACTTTAGGCGCCTAAAAGCCGACCTCCTTTGAAGGTAATACTATTGCACAGATATTTTGATGTCTTTGCGAGATTAGGTGGGAATGAGTTTCTAATTAACATTATTTACCGTGTTTCTCAGAATTTGACTAACAGACATTTGCCACCCATTCTAATAGGAACAATTAGAAAAGAAATTTGCTTTAGATGTAGGAATAATTCCTGGAAATATTCACAGGAGGACTTTCAAGTAAAGCAGAATATGATAAAAAAAAAAAACGACAATAAGAAAAAATTTTTTAAAAAGCAATTCTCGTATAAGTTGCCTTTTCATTACAGAGATATGAGAAATATGATTTTATTAATTAATTTTATAATATTGAATAATAGTCGATATCGTTGCGATTTGTTTGTAAAACATTTCAATGAAATTAATACAAAAACACGAAGAAACTTGACATAATAAATTAAATTATAGACCATTGAGAAAAAGAGCTTGAAGCAATGAAATAATGAAAAAATTTATGAGTTTTTTTTAAAAAAATATTTATATAAACAACATTAAATAATAATAATTGCCTTAAATTATTAAAATTTATACGAACTAAAAACTGCATAAATAATTGTACTATAACGATAAGAAAAAAGAAAAAAAAAAAAAAACAAATAAATAAAAAAAATAAATTAAAACAAAAAAAGTAAAACACAAGGAATACATTAATAAGGACGAAAACGGAAGCCACAATGATTAACGGAAAGAAAAGTGGAGAGAAAAAGGAGAAAATAAGCAAAACAAAACCGAACAATTTTCTATAGATATTTATAAAACATAAGTACAAAAATTAAGATTTTTTCTTTTTCTTTACTTAAAGCAAAAGAGAAAAAAAATTCAAGGAATATCAAGCAAATTTTCTTCTTTTTTTTTTTTTTATTTCTCACGTAAACCTTTTAAGGGTTTAATCCCACTTAATTTGGAGCATAGTCGTAAATTATTCTTATTGTTTTTTTGTTTTTTGTTTTTTCTCTTAAGTTTATTAGTTATAACTAAGCTTTTTGTTTTTGTTGTTTTTTATTATTTCTGCTGTCACTTAAATGCTAACTTTTACAAAGAAATCATTATGCTCGTAACTGGTTTTTACTTTCAGAAGATAAAGTGATGTCCTTTCGCTTTGCTGGTGGTGGTAACACATGGACATGTAAAATTCCCTTTTTCTTTTTCTACTTCATTATTATTATTATTATTATTAATAAAAAATATATTCATTATTGTATTTTATATTAAGTATTATTTCTTAAATTGTTTTTGTATTTTATTTTCTACTTTTACATTCAACTGGAAAACAGTTATAAAAAAATGTTTTTTTTCGTTTTTTTTTTTTTTTTTTTTTTTTTTTTTTTTTAGCTTTGTATGTATATAAATGATTGTGTATATAAAAAAATATTAATAAAAAAAAAAAGAAAAAAAAAAAAGATGGCAACACTAAAAAAATTGTTGGTCTTAAATTTCATCTAAAGCAATTCGCAGTTTTTCGTTGATATCAATATATAAACTTAATTAATATAGAAATGTCTAAGAACTACCATAAGTATATCAAAGTAAATTAAGTTTGTTTGTTTGTTGTTGTTGCTTTTTCATTTTCGTTTTCTATACTGAATTTATTTAATGCTAAAATTCGTTTTTCTTCTTATATTCATTTCGTTTTCCTTTCCCATCAAAATATTCAGAAAGTGTTATGGATGTTATAACGGAATGCTTAACGCATTCAATCATCAGATGAAAAATGCATTACGTTAGTTAAGTAAATATAGTTAGTTAACGGTATGAGCGGTTAAAGAATTTTTAAGGAATACCACATATAATATTTATATGAAAGATGAATGTTTTATAAGATACGCGAAATTTTGCAAAATTTTTTAAAGATTCGTTGGTTGGTGTGTTGTTTAACAAGTAAATGTTCAACAAAGAAAAAAAAAAAAAGAAGAAAAATGAAAAAACCAAAAAAAAATCTAAATAATAATAATAAACATTTTTAGCAGCAGAAAATCTACACAATTATTTCACGTATCACACGACGATTTCGGGAATTGGGTGTTGATGAGTATTCACCCTCGAAACTGTCGTCATAGCTGAGGGACATGTGTTGCTGTGGTGATATCACTTCATCTTGTTCCATATGCTCCATATTATATGGATTTGGCAGGCCACTTACGTCGTGATATGGTGAATCTATGTTAGAGAAGAAAACAAAAAGAAAAAAAAGAAACAAACAAAAAATTGCATATAAAAGAATATAAATTTATTTATTTATTTTTTTTGTTTTTATTTCTGAAATTGTACTTTAACTAAAGTTTTCAATTATTTATGTATATGTAGATAGAGGATAGAGAAGAACTAAAACACTTAAACATCACACATGATGATGGCTGTTAATGATGGTGATGAGGCTCAAGCACTACTTACATTAGCAGCGCTCCGTTAGAGCGTAACATCCTGTATGATATCCGCTAATAAAATGTAAGCATTTCAAAAAAGAGGAAGAAAGATACAGAAAAAAAAAAAAAATGTGAAATATTCCTCTTAGTTGATAAATAGAAAGCACCAAAGTTGTTTGCTTTTCGTTTTTTTTTTTTTTTTTTTTTTTTGCTTTTCCGCTACAAAAGTTGATGATATGTCTTACACTTGATTTTTTACACTAAACTTGAGCTAAACACTACGTGATCATAAAATTTTAATTTACGTAAGAGAGCAAGAAGAAATGTTATTTTTGTATTTAACAAGAATATTGTATGTCCGCGATGTCAACTAAGCTTCGGTTACTTATTTATGCGCATCTCATCAGCTACCTGGCAGCCGCTATTTTCATCATGAATTTTGATATAAACCCTGGAAAGGGAAGGGCGCACCGTTTTCACGATTAGCTTTGTACTTTTCCACGTCTTTCGATAACCGTGAGCGCCCTTACTGAATTAATGGCAACGACTTATGGGTACTCCTCTGTAGAAGGAGCCACACTATCATTTACCATGGACGTAATAGGTATTATTTTTCTCTTGAATTCTTACGTTTTGGGACATCGTCGCATAGAATGTCTCTAAACCAATGTGAGTATCATTTCCCTCATTGGTGCATTGATATTTCGCCCATACATATGGTAACACGATGAGGTTCAGAAAGAAGGAAGTGTGAGAACGAAAACTAATAATGGCTGCAAACTAGTGGCGACGTACTTAATCGGCCAGTGCTATAGCTTTACCGATTAAAGCAAGTCACTATAGCTATGACCAAGTATGGTCTACCGCAGTGAGTTTTGAATCCGCGAACACTAACTAACAACTTATGCTCAAAATTGTACTCGGTATTGTGGCGAATGTCTTTCATACCAAAAAAATGTTCTACATTTTATCAATGGAAGTTACTTGGAAGGAACGCTTCTAAATATAACGACACTTTTTTCGTATCGAATAATTCCTGGTTATATGTAGGCGTTTTAAACCACTGAAGACAGCTATTTATACCCTGCACCACTTGTGATACAGAGTATATTAACTTAGTGCGGACGTATGTAACATGCAAAAAGGCTTGAGCTGAGCCCACCTTTTGTTATACTGATCGATTCAGAATCATTATCTGAAGTGATTTAAGCTTGTCTGTCAGTCTGATATCTGTCAATGTAAATTAATGTTCTAGCTACAGGTCGCAATTTTTAATTTATTTTGATTAAATTAATACAGTGACGTGTTTTAGCCCAAGGACGAACGCTATTGAAAATGGTTCGGATTCTAAGCCAACCACTGGTCACTAAAAAGGATGTGTTATTTTCAAAAAATCTCTACGTCACTGTCCATATCGCATAAGCTATATAATGATTATGGTTGCTGTTCACTATTACTAAAAAAAAGGATACCTTATGCAAAGATGACAAGGACAATAGCGTACAGTAATAATGTCCTGAGCTTCTAAATCGAGTACTAATGTGTCACAAATAACAGAAGGAGGCTAATCTCTGGCTTTAAAAGATATCTTCACTGAAGCAAGGCTTTATTTCTTTAAATTTTCCAATTTCATTGTAACATGAAAATATGATTATTTGCTTGTTTTCAGCGGACACCTAGAAATGTCGAGAAACACTGGAAACACCTGCACATGTAAAAGTAAAAAGCAAGAAGGAAGAATGGTCAAAGATATCTTGAGGTGAATCTTTATTAGGTGCTATCTTAATGTTTGCAACGCTTTCTAGTTGTTCGTAGGATGCCAGTTAAAATGGTTATCTTTCATGCTTTTACTAGATCTTAGAACGATGTCTCCCAAACCTTACCAGTTATTACGCAAACAATTCTCGAGTTTTCGTTTCGTTCTTTTCCGCTTCTTTAATAAGTGTGCCAATATACGTACGTATGCATATCAAGCAGTCTAGTTTCAAGCTACCAACGTTGTATATAGATGTAGCGGTTAAATGAGAAAAATTAAGAGAGAAATATGAAATTTGATAGAAATGTTTTTTGATCGATTAAAAACGCAGTCTGAAGACATGGGTTTGATTTGCGCACGCACAGGTTCACAGTAAATTAGAAACTGAAACAATCTCGCACAAAAATCCGATGAATGTTCTTTTTTCAATTCATGCACATATGTCCAAGAAACTGTTGCATAGATTTTCACCAGAACCGCCTGCGCGATCGGGTCGAAAGTGGCACCGAAACGATTTTCTGATACGTCAACATTCCACCATTAATATTGTATTTCCAATTTATTCTAATTGTGCATTAGCACTTTCTTCACTCAATTACGAATTGGACTTAAGATCTCTCTATAAGACTTATAATCGAAAGACTAGATTATATATATACATATATATATATATATATATATATATAGTTTCGACTGCGACAATTACAGCACTTCATTTCAATTAGCGATTCTTTGCTAACAGATGGAAAATATACATCTTAGAATTAAACACATACAACAAAACAGCAAAACTTATTATTTGCGCCATCAGGTCACCGAATTTTGCACACTTATAACTATGTAGCGGCACCTTTTACAGTTTAGAAGCACTTATATGTTTGTGCATATCTCATACATCACGAGTGGGCAAATTGCTTTCGTTAGTTATGTAGCTAATACAATCTGTAACGTAACTATATGTGATGGCCACACAAGCTATTGCTTGAACGGATATGTGCGATTTTCACGACCTTGAGACTGAGGGAAAGGCATAGATAAACTGAAATGACAAAATTAAAGGGGGATTTAAAGTCTCGATATTCTGCCCGATCTTTGCTGCATCTGCATATACGACAAAGGTTGCAAATACCATACAAAAATTAGCATGCGTTCCGTGTAAAAAAAAAACGGATGTTGAAATGCATGCACACACACTTACATATAAAGATATTTAAACGGAAATTGTCAAGTGATTGTGACTGCGCGTCTGCATTTATGCCCTCATGCAACTCTGTGAGGTTATGGCATAAAACGGACGTGCACTGCAGTGCAACACTTGCATTTAAATGAAATGAAAATCCTCCCCAGACTTGGTAAATTTTCAATTTTATTGCATATCTGTTTGTACGAATGAAATGAAGAATTTTATTAAATTTTCCTTTTTTTTTTTTTACATACATATATTCACACAAATTTATGAAAAATTTGAAAATTTTTGAAATGCTCAGCTGTCGTAGAATGTGTGCATTCGATGTACATTTTCTATTTTGCCAAGCTGCGAACAGTAATAAAATATCAAGCAGCTTAAGGCGTACAGTGCCTTAACCTTAATTCTCAAAAAAAAAAAATAAAAAAAAAAAATAAAAAAAATGAAAAACAAAAATTTACTTTAAAATTATGAACTAACGAACGGATATTTCGCATACTTTATATATTGAGAGAGTCACAAAAAACTACGGTACCAGCATTTCGAAGGATGGGTGACAGTAAAGTTAAATGGTTTGTTAAAGGAAATATCAAAAGCATGTGTTTTATGGATTTAGATTTCTTCTCTTCATTTTCCTATTAATATCCGGTGCTTCGACAGAGCAGTAATCCTACCCAGGAACGCAGATGTCAGTTGAGCAGATAAATATGAATTGTCTCGAACAGATGGGGAAACTTTTGAAGTTAAGCTAAGTTTACCTTAGCAAATTTCTCTAGTTATAAACATTTAAGTATACATACATTTTTACATGCTAGAATATGCTAGCACGTAGCCATAACCGACTTCGTTAATTGATATGTTAAACCTAGATATAGGCATTAGAGATCCAAAAGAGCAAACCCTCTTTTGCGGTGAGAGATTTTTAGCAAATTTAGTTAAGTTAAGAAGAGAAAAAAATGTATGTAATTCTTAAATTTTCGCTGGGTGTTCTTTATGAAGTAATATGCTTTCAATTTTCTTGTGAATAATTAAAAATGGGATGTACTGGAAAATTAGATTTAACAAATTTCATTATTAAATAATAGAATGTGATTATTTGTACGCAAATTGCAGTCAACGATCAATTTGCAATACATTCTGTAATCGATGGTTAGAGAGAAACCAATACTTTAGAGGGGTTAGGGATCAATTTGCAATACATTTTGTTATCGATGGTTAGGGATAAACCAATAGATCAGAGCGGTTAGGGATCAATTTGCAATACATTCTGTTATCGATGGTTAGAGATAAACCAATGCATCAGAAGAGTGCTTGTAATGTTTTACCTTAACGCTGTACTAATATAAGAATATATATATATATATATATATTCATACTTAATTTTTTTTTTTCTTAACTGCAATTGTAGCGTCGTCTATAACCCAAACAAATTGCTGTTTATGAAACTTGATATTACTATTAGAATAAAAAACTGAAAGCAAATAATAATCGGACGAATAATTTAGTAACAATTTCCTAAAACCAGTAGGAAATTAAAACAATAAAATATGACAAAATGTGGCTCTCCATCGTCATTTGAATTAGGTTTCCTTCCCAAAAAGTTAATAACATGAGTATAATGTTTTGTTTTATTATTGCGAAGTTTAAAGGTAGCAAAATTTTCAATTCTCAATGTGAATAAACACAGCCGCAAAGTTTTTATGTTTTGCTTCTCAACCCGGTCTGTCTGTGAACATTAAGAATAATAGTAGAGCTTCTCTACGACCCTGGTATGATTGTAAAAAAGTTAAATCTTTCGATATAATTGTAATCAGTGTATCAAACGGTCCCGGTATCAACTATATGTCCATCT